ATTTTGAAAACACTTGCTTTTAAAGAGTGGGTTATACCTTTGTGTAATAGACCACTGAAATGCCCAAAACCTAGAGATTGCTGTTGCTGAATTCTCATACTTCAATATCAGCACGTGATTTCTGCCAACTGTTTTCCTGGGATTCTTCTAGTAGATTTACTTCTGATAGATTTACATAAATCAGGTTTATGAAGAGGAAATTCTCTGTAATTGTGCATTTTTAATGGATTTATGATAAAGCCATCAAAGCGGAGGGTCCATATGGTAGGAATGCAGTAAGGTAACAGGACAGTGTCATGTAATCATTAAATACAATGCCTTCCACCTTCATAAATCCTCAATGCTCATGATTAAATGCTACTGGTTATAAATTATGCGACCAACTCTAGAAACAACCGCACCTTAAATAAGACGCCAGTGGAAGTCCTAAGTTGGATATAGGTTTTCTCCCCAGGAAACTGTTGTATATTCATTAGGAGATAATATTCAAGTCCCTATTTTCCAATTCCAACAATTATTTTCTCACTTTATTTAATTTCCTACAATAAACTCTAGTTCTGATGAAAAAGTAATAATGCAAATCTTTAATCCTAGAAAATAATCAGTCATTTTTACAGGGTGAGGTACCGTTTTGATTTGCAGACTCATTTTCAAGCTTTCTTAATATGTATTTATATAGCTTCAGGTCTCTAAGATTTTGCCCTTTTTAGAGTCGTATCAGAAATTTCCACACCAGTCCAATTTCACACTGGTATTTACAATCAAATTATTTTATTACACATGGGAGCAATTAAACATTTGGCCCTCAGCTGTAAACAATTACTATATATAACGACATTCATGGAGTTTTCTTAGTTATGCATTTCTAATGCCCTCTGTTAAAATAAGTGAGATTGATGTTTGTGTATTTTGTGTGTCCACAAGCAATTATATTCCCAAACATAATATCAAAAGAGACATTTCACCTAGAGAATGCACTAACATTGTCTGATGCCAGGTAACCACCTGCAATGAAGCCTTTCACATATCCCCTTTCTGTTCTACTGCCATTTTACTACTGGTCCAGTTTCATTCCGAAGAACTGATGGTGTTCACAGCAAGAAGCAATTAAGGTTTAGAGTAATTTGTTTTTAGAATTTTGGGGTGTCTAATTCTAATATATTGATATCAACGGTGCCAGTAGCAGAGACGTAGAAGAAGCAAAGAACGATATAACCAAATAAACTTAGGCTTGAATCCTGGTTCTGCCAATTTCTAGTTGAATGACCTATGCTAATTTACTTTTTCCAGGCTTAGTTTCCGTATTTGAAAAATGTGAATAGTTATATCTAAATCATAGGACTACTGTGAATGTTAAATGAGATATATTTAAAGAAATGGGATACGTACTATATACTCAGTACATACTGATTTCTCTGTCTCCCATATTCTTCTCCTGGAAAGATTCATAAAGGATGTGGCTTTCCATTTTGAGAATATCCATCCTTGGCTGTCTCAAGTTTAGAGATACATTTTCTTTTCACTAGACTCCCCCTTTTTACAAGTGACAACCATGGGAGAAGCCCACAGCTGTTTTACTCACATCTAGTAAGGTCCACCAGTCCCAGTTGCAAGGGTATGTAACAGCTGTATCCAGCCTTTCTAGGAGGCCAGAACTGGAGCCGAATGGTAATGTTTCAAGGGCAAAGCTCTAGATGTAAAGAATGATAAAACAAACCTAAATGAGCCTGAGCATATCTAGTGACAGACACACCACAGCTATTCTAAATTATTCAAGCTTTCCCTGACTTCTAGCAGGAGAAACATAATTCATCTCCATTTGCTTTACTCTACTCTCATATAATGGCAAAGAAGCAGACAAAAAATACACCCCTCTAAAAAAGAGAAATTATAATCATCACCCAAATAGAGAAGAGTTTCTTTAGCACGTGTAATATTTTTAGAACCTTCCAATCTCTGGGAACCAGCTTTGGAGACAGAAGTTAAAAATGATTTTGCAATGCTTATGGGTGATTTCCTTACTCCCTTTTGTTAGCATTTTGCTGGCAAAAAGCCAGTGAAACAGTTGTTTAATTACCCAGGACATCACAAACATGTAACCTCTTAGATAAGCTGTTACTGTATTTTAGCAGCAATAATACTAGGGTCAAAAGTAACAAAGAAAATTAAGCTTCAAATAAGCAAACCTCAAAAGAACAGCTCTGTGTATTTGGAATAATTAATAACTTGTTTAGGAAAATGTTACTGAAATGTGGTTTTTGGACAAGGAACTGACACTCTTCAGAGGTTAGATACCCTAATATTTAACAGGCTACCATTTAGTGGGCTGGGTGGCTGGTTCCCCTGTAGGCATGGCAAAAGTTTGGTCACATGTAATTATGCAACATTTAGACAATATTTTAATGAAACCATGTAGTTCAGCTGAATCAGTCCAGCTGGAAATTGTAACAGCATTCTGATTACCTGGCCACATGTGAAATTAAGGCTTTTTCAACCTCTGCTTTTCACTTGCTGTGTCTTGATACAGATGTTCTTGGAAAGCCTACATTATTTATGGTTTGACATTATTTGACAGAGCAAGCCCCATCCCCTTTCATTTTCAACCATTGATTAAGATTGCATTACTATACAAGACATCATAATTTTAAAAAGAACTATTAGTAGACTTTATCCTATGGTAGAGATATTAGTATCTTTTGGACAGTTAGGATGAAAATTTTCCACACTTGTTTTTGTGCAATAAAAATCCTATACTTTGCTCTTTGCAGATAATTCTTACTGTAAACATATAATTCAGTGTATACCCTGGAAATCATTTTACTAAATAGTTAACTGCACAGTGATATTATTTTAGAAAAGATTAATTTAAGTTTCATAAATAAAATAGTAATTTAAGTGTAGATTGGTCCTTGCATCACAATATAAAGATACTTAAAATAGAGAAATAGCAAAATCAAGTTAGTGTCAAAAAAAAATAAAGCTTGCTCAAGGTTAACACTCTGAAGTTTTATTATATTGCTTTGAGTTATGTCTACGAACTAAAAATACAAAGAAGAATTTCAGTCCATGGGAATTATTTTTTTTAAACTCCCAGCTCACTCTGCAGTAAGTGCTTGGACCACTTCTTCCCCATCGAACTACCTGGGTGATACCACAACTAGTTTGAAGTGAACAAAAGTATTAAATGTTTAATCAACAACCATAACATCTATACACAGCATCTAATGAATTCAGGTAACAAATGACTTTTGAGCAAAAAAAAAAAAAATTCTGCATCATAAATGACATTATTTCAGCCACTTTCTATGAATCAGAATGGAAAAAGAAACAGGTAACGGACTATTTAACATCTCTGGTGTTAAACATAAAATGGAATACTTTAAAATACTTCTCCAAATATTTTTCTTACTTGTAAACATATTGCTAATTTTAGTAAATGGAAACAGCAGCTGAGGAGGAACAGAAGTTAATGTTGAATGTATGTGAGTCCCCAAATAAGAAAACTAAGGCTTAGTTCTTCTAAATCTTTGTTTAAAATGAAAATGCTAAGTTCTAGTTAACTGTCTTTTCCATTAGTATTAGAGGCTTTCTGGGCCAAGAAATCTTGAAATGTTTGACCCATGTCTTTACGTTAGCTGGCAAATGTATGCTTGGAATTCCCACACAACTGACACAATAAAGTCCCTTTAAAAGGTGACATGGAAGTAACATTGAGATAATGCTAAATGGTCATTAAAGATGTTTAAATGTCATTGTCTACTGTCTCCAGTGCGCCTGTTACACAGCCTCGGGGCCCTTTCAAAGAGCAATCAATAGAGGATGAATAAGTCTCACCACTTGAAAGTAACTAGGAAAAGAAGCTCACAGGGTAATCTGGCTTTGCTGGACTGAATCAAGAAGAGACACAACATCACCCCTCCTCTTCTAGTCTCCCTCCCCCGACCCAGCCCACACTCCAGCAAGAAAGAAAGAAGAGAAAGAGCTCAAGAGGGAAAGAGAGGGGGAAAAGAAAAAGGAAAGACATCCAGGGATCCAGGGCATAATTTGTACTCAAGAGAAAATCTCATCCTGTGGGACAACTATAGCCATGGAAACAGACTTATGACTTTTACTTTGAAAATAAAAGAATGACAATGAAATTTGTGTGAGGTCTGTGTGAATCCAGTCCCAGATGTTTACAATGCTGTAGTAGTATGGCTCTGCAATATGAGAGGTTTCAGAAGAAACGAATACAACAGGACACCACAAAGCAGCGCATATGCTATTGACAATGCAGACACGAGCATCATGTTACCAAGAGAGAAGGCAGGCAGAAGACAAATAGCAGCAGTTGTGCCTGAAAAGCTAACTTCATGGACTGCAATCACTCAAACCAACATAAGGGAGCACCGCCCCCCCCCCAAAAAGATCAAAACCAGAAAAATGCTTTCCCTCCTATCTAGAGACGGGGTGGGGTAAAGGGACGGGGGGTGGGGAGCGAGTAGAATTGACTCTTTTTTAAAATAAAGTTCCCATAAAGCCCCCATAATTGACAGCGGATAATTATTTTCAGCTTGAGGAAACTGTCCCCAAACTCTTAATAAGATTGCCAGCGAAAAGAAATAAAATGTGTTTACTTGAGCCATTTCCAGAAGGGAGAGAAAGGAGACCTTGGGATGAGGTGGGGAAGGGCGGTGGAGAGGGACCGGCAACTATACACTACAACTATACACTGCAACTCTCGGGCGCCCTGCTTGGTCCGGCGAGTGACAAGCCAGAGAGACAGAGCGGATAGGGTGGCAAGGAGTGAGGGGTGAGGAGGCAGCGTGCGGAGCCGTGGGGGAGCGGCAGCACAATGTATACACGGGGTGGGGGGTGATTTAGTGTGAAAGTATTCCACTTAATCATTTTACAGGGGTTGGGGACGTAAATATTTAGCTGGCCACATCTGGAACAGATTTCCCCCCGGGTGGGGTGGGGGTGGATAATTGGAAGGAGGGGAGCGCGCATTTGTTACTTACTGTACGGGCAGTTCTCCTTCTTGGTACCGCTGACCTTGCCGTTCTTCTCAATCTTGAGAAAGTATTTGGTGAAAGAGAAAAGCTTTCTCCAGCGGACATCTCCTTGGAGGTGATTGTAGCTCCGCACATGCCTCCCCGCGCTGGAAGGAGAGGAGAAGGAGGAGGAGGACGAGGAGGAGGAGGAAGAAGAAGAAGAGGAGTTGGTGGCCTCTGGTGACACCATGTCCTGACCAAGGGCTTGGCAGGTGACAGAGACGGAAGACACCAAGAACAGCAACAAGAAGCAGCAGCAGCAGCCGGGCAGGTGGGGAAAGGCTGAGGCACAATGTGTCAGTATCCATTTCCACATTGTACTGAAACTCTCGGCACTGGAAATTGTCTCATCAGAAGGAACATACTGGAAGGGTAAGACCTGGTGCGAGGCAAAGAGACAGCTGGAAGTGGCGGCCGCTGGTTAGCTCACTCTGGGCGCGGATCTGGCCAGAAGTGAATGCCCCAACATCCATAACTCCTCAGAAGGGCCGGCTGCCTCTCCTCGCTCCTTTCTCGGATCCGCTGCCGTGCGCCTCTCGAGTGTCCCGGTGAATGGTGGACGTGGGTGGCCGCAGCAGCGGGAGCTGGTGGTGGCGGTGGTGGTATTGGTCACTAGAGATCTTCACTCCCCCAGGAGTTACTTTGTTCTCTTCTTCACTCCTTTCTTCACCATGTTAGATGCAAAAAAAGGTCTGAAAAACAGATGACAGCACGGTGAACAAAACCCAAAGGGATCGGGCTGGGAGGCTGGGGGAGATGCCTGCGCCCCTCTGCGGTTGGCACCTTCTGGTCGCTCTCCGCAGAGCCCCAGCCTGCTAGCCGGTTCTAAAAGTGCGTCCCTTTGGAGTTGTCAGAACTGGAGGCAGCTGCCCTGTCGCCGTTGTTTTCTTCCCCCTCTTGCTTTCTCTTTTTGGTGGTGCCTGTTGATTTGAAGCCTCCAGAAAGTCACTTCTTGTTTGGGGGGGACGGCGGTTGGTGTTTTGTTTGGCCCTATTTCCCTCCCCCCCTTCCTTTGGAAAGCCAGCTTGTAAACAGGTTGAAGCCTGGAGTCTAAATGTCAGTGATTCTAAGCCAGAGGTGGGCTCTGCCTCTGCTGGTCAAACCTCATTTGCAGGGGTGGAGAAGCGGGGGGAGGGGGTCAAACGGCGGTGGGACATCTGAAACCCTCGGCTGCTGAGAACGCCAGGGAGAGGGAGGCGGGTGGGGGCCGAGAGGGGGGAGAGCAGGGGAGCGCGGAGAGGAGAGCGCGATGCCTCTGCGCGGAGCTCGGGGGCTGCCCCGGGTCCCTTCCTCGCCGCAGCCGCAGCCTCCGCCTCCGCCGGCGCCTCCAGCTCCGGCTAATTGCTGCGCAGGCTAAGGCGTCCTTGTGCTCGCGGCGCTGGCCACCAGCGCGAGCTGTATCCTCGTGCTTTCCGAATTTTGCTGCCTTCCAGCCTGAACCAATCCCCTCCGGGGAGCCCCTTTCTCGCTTGTTTTCCAGCGTAGGATTTTTCTTTTTTTTCTTTTGGCAGTGAAGTACTTGAGAGCCACCTGGAGCCTCGTGCTAGGCTGACTTTTTCCCCCCACCCTCTCACTCCCAGAAGGAGGGGAGGGCTGGGGGAGAAAGCAGAAGATGCTGAGAATAAACCCTCCAAAGCAGCAGATTATACACTGGTCGGAGCGAGCACAGAAAAGGGAGACATAATTAGCTTCCTTTCCTCCTATTCTGCCAGCTTCCACGGAGGTCTTTGGTTTAATGAATCACTGATTTCTCGCTTCCGTTGCCGAAGTAAAAAGTTCACACTTTGTCCCTCTCTGCCTTTTAAGCTCAGGGAGATTTATCGTCACCCTTTAAAGTCGCCTCTCTTGGCGCAAATGAAATTGGGGACCGAAATGACCGATTTGTAATTGCTAACATGAGTCGTTTACTGAATCACGCGTGCACTTCAAAGCGAACGCACTCTATTGAGATGGCAAAGATTTAACCACACGATTTGGCTGAATATTCTGCTGTTTTCTTTTCTATGCAATATCCTTTGACTTTGCCATAAAGGGACGTTTTCTTTTCTTTTGTTTTTTTAATCTTCAAATGTAATGTTTAAAGGGCTCTATTTTACAGTGTAACTGCGCTTTCAGCGTCCTTCTCACGCTCATCACCCCCCCAACCCCGTGATTGCTGAAGGACACTTGCTCACAACCCAGGTATAGACTGAATCAGTTTGCCAAGAATGTAGAGGCAGAAAGAAGGAAACACAAATAATGCGTTCCGATCTGAGGAAGAGACAGTTCCTAGAAGATCACTTCTTTAAGAGTTCCTCTAAACTGGGGAAAGCTTGACTGGAAGGAGTTCCTAAAGATATACTGGTATAAAATATTTATGTTCGGAAAAGCACTTGGACATTTGTGTTACGTTGAAACACATGAAATTGCCAATATTTTATGATTTTCGACCTTTAAAAGTGGCAATTTCATAGAGTTCAACCTAATCTTTAGGCTGCTATTGACGGAGAACCACTTCAGGGTGAACTTGGGAGGTTTACCTCTGGAACTGTAAATTGGAGGGAACTGATCAGAACAGCTCCTGTATATGAGACAAGCAGAATCCCTATAATGTGCATTTGATCTCAATCTTCATTGTGAATAGGAGAAAATACAAAGAAATTAAAAATCTCACTTTAGACATGAGCATTAGGAATGATTGCCCAATTATGCTGTTTAGTGACCTGAAAAATGACTTTACATGCATGCTGTTATATTTTCCTGTGCATTCAGAGCCTTTGGAATAGAGCCATTTAATACTAGAATTGAGATTCTAATTGCATTATTTATAACCCATTGCAATGCTTATTCAAAAGATTTTGACAATGTGGTGAACACTACAGTAGGTTTTTAAATTTAATTCAATTAGCTCTAATTTCTGTAGCTATTAACTGGGGAGTTAAGTAAATAAGCAGCGTACGTCAAACAAGTCTTGCTCATTCATTAAAGCATGGATATTTAGAAATGAACTCTGTGCTAATTTCAATTTTCTAGTTCAAAGTTTTATATCCGAGCTGACAAGTGCCTGAAAGAGAGCGTTGTGTTTCTAAGGGACTAGAGTTTCAGCCGAGTTGTTCCCCAGAATCCAAAATGTTTGAATTGACAACTAATTAAAGCTACATGCTTTTTAAAATTATGTTTAATGACACCATACAATAAAGATTCTGCCATGAAAAGTTACAAAACAGAGGAAGTTATTATTTTGAGGGTTTTTTTACACTGGTCATCAACACTACTGATGCCAACTTGAGATCCTTTTAATTTTTTTTTTAACTCACAATAGACACACTTTCCCCTCACCCCACCTCCTAAGGTAGTGTCTCTCCCGCTCTCACATGCGCACACGTGCACACACACATACATCTACCAACTTTCTGCTCCAGTAGGAGAAACTGTTCAGATCTTTAAGTTCGAAGTTGTGTGTTTTTATTCTATCTGAAGTGGGGAAAAACACATCTTCAAAACTTCCATATTAAAATCTGGTTGCAGCAGGTGCAGTGTTTAGAAGTTCTAGAGGCTTTTCGCTACTCTCCTGTACAACGTGATGACAGGCAGGGCCTTTACAAAACAGCCCAAAGGAAAAGCTGACATAGCTTTTTAGATTATATCTCATTCTTCTTTTTCTTTTCTGTACAGCCTTTCTTTTATAGCGAAGTTGAATCCCTAAATACTCCACTGCTTTGCATTGTTAGGTCACCTCTGAGGTTAGCCCGAGAAAGCCTGAGAAAACTTCCACAGGAAAGATGCACTATTTAACGGAATTCAATCTCTCCCAATAGATTTGAATCACTAACATAAATGTATGAATGTAGATTATATCTCTGTAATGAGGCCTGAATCATTCTCAGTTACTTCAAAGCACTGAAATTCTACCTTCCTTTTTTAGCAGCAATAATCAGGTCTTAATGGGTTCCTTTATTAATTGTTTCTCTGCAACGATTGAAAAGGACAGTACAAGCTTCAGATTAGAGTGATACCTGGTAATTCTAAAGGCTGTTTTTCTCTTTTTTCCAACCTCTGGAAGGCATGCTTTATTTCTATGCCCTAAACATATCCAGTAATATTAAGCTAAATCTTTATTAGAGGAAATAGATGTGGCCTTTGGTTAAATGTGATGTCTTGAGAAATTATTGAGGCTTTTAAAAGCAAGACCATGGCTGCAGCCATTGAAGAATCCTAAAAGGTGGCTATTTAACCTCAGAGAAGCAGTTTGTGTATGCATTTCGAGATCCTTCAGTAGCTATTCTGTTTGAGCAGTTTACATTTTGAGTATGTATTTCCTGGATTCTTTATGCTTGGCACTATCTTTGGTTCAGTTACAAGGTGTGTGTTCTGTTATGTGTGATGTTATTGACAGTGTCAGTAAGCTGCTTCATATAATACTAAGTCAGGTCAAAAGTCAGCCAGGCTGTTCTACAAAGTAGACATGTGCAGGCCTCAATTTTGAAGCCTGCAGCCCTTATGGGTATGTGTCCCAGCCCACTTTCCCTTCTGGATACAGAAGATGCCAGCTTTAAGGCAGTGCTGGGGCTTGTGGTCTGCCCAGAATGCAGCTAGATGTGATGCTTATAGTCAGTGACAAATGGGGCAAATAAAGTAGTGATATCTTCTTGTTTTTAACTAGGGGTTTCAAGTGAAAGGAAAAGAGGTCTTACCTCCCAGGGTGTACTGTAGTGCTCCAGAGCCAGAGGGAAACTTAACAATAATTCCATCCAACTCATTCATTGTGTAGATGAGTGCACGGACACCCAGGTCACTCGGTGGTAGAACAGAGTTTAGAACTCAGGGACTAGACTGTAGGCTGTTGTCCTAATTTTTTTTTGTAACACCTGTCCTGTCTATTTTCTCTTTCCCCCTCCCTGCTCCTCTTCTCCTTATCATTGATCACTCATCACTCTAATGTATCTGAGATGCCAGGGTGGAAGTGAGAAGAAGAGTTAGAAGGAAAACCCTTATGGAAAACCAATATATCTTTGCTGCCAAAGAAAAGTAATAAAATAGTTTAGTGTTGAATTATTAAATACTAGTCGACTAGCCAAATAATATTGTTATATTGTTGGCAAAGGGGGCTATTTTATCAAAGCTTGTGAAATGAATGCAATTAGAAAGCAGTAGATGCCATGTATTCTCAGAATATTCAAGGATTTTTTTTCTATATAATCCGAACTTATAAATTCTACCCCAGGAAATTTATGGCATCTTCCAGAAAAGTAGATTTATAGTTTGATTCTGCTTTCTGTATTCTAATATTAAATTTCCGTAAAGTAGTGTGATATTTCAAAACATAGGTATTGGCTTAAAAAATGTTTTTCAAAGTTTGAAACTAAGGTAAATTTTCTATTCCCTAACTTTCAAACAAACTTCATGATCTATTTTTGCAAAGGAAAAATAGCCAACACGGTGAAAATGATGGTAAAAAGGAGAAAAAATCCTATCTAAGAATGTTTAAATCACACAATAAATCACCAAAAATTCCTGGAAACTGACCTCCGCATCTTGGCACCAAATACAGCAAACCTATTCCCATAAAGCTGCTGTCTGCCTCCTCCCAGCTGCCGGTGAACACGACCTTTCCCCGTGAAAGCCGTGAAGTTTTGGAAGAGTTTTGTTTGTTTTCTGTGTTCTCAGCTGTCCCTTTGTAGAGCTGTACCTCCTTCCCCTTCAAGCCCTCTACGTTTCTTAGTCCTGAACCTTAGATCAAAATTTTAAACATTCTGATATCAGTCACTTATATTTGTGAATTAACTGGCAGGTCATAACGTTTTCTTTAAAGTTGCAATGTCTTACAACAACAGATATTTATAATGTGTCCATTTCTTCATCCATTCCCTTAATTGGTTTTTATTTAACAAATGTGTATTGATACCTAATATGTGCCAGCTAGGCATTATGCATGGTGCAGAATTTTACCAATAAATGACAGAGCAACTTACCTTATAAAGAGCGTGAATGAACAAATAAACGAATGAAGGAATGAATGATTTGGGGCACTTTATTATTAGTGATGGACGAAATAGGGTTATCTTAGGATTCAGAAGGCAAATGGAGAAACTTGGGAGAAGAGGAAGAGCCCTTGAAATTTCTTTCGGGTTGTCTAGTCCCTACAGAAAAGCTGAAGGAAAGTGTGACTTCTGTTCTCTGGCTTCATGAAGGATCAAGACTCGATCTTTTCCTGTTTGATGTCCCTGGCACAGTCCTTCACAATTTCTCCTACAGTCTGAGGATTTTGGCCCCATCTTTTCGGCTAACTCATCCTGACTCTCTCTCCTTTCCTTCTGCTCTCAGACTCTTGGATGCGTATTTTATGACTTCTAGTTTATTATTTTAATTACTTCCTCATAAGAGTTCCCTAATCCATCTGCTATCTTATGTGCCTCTTATTAAAACGTAAATATTATCAAATATAATTTGGCCTGATAACCATTCTCCCTATTTGACAAATTTTGCATCTGTTAAATAGACTTTGACAAAGATTTATTATCTATGAATTACCATTAACAGAAATATTATTGTGTTAGGGGAATGCAATTTTCACGGTGCTGGTTTTTCTTGGAGTGGTCCCCAGATCCATTTTCTGCCCTTCTCTGCTTAGCTCTATGCTGACATCTGTGTGTCACCAGTGTCCCTTGGGCAGATGACTTGCAGTTGGTTTTGTCAGTGGAAGAATAGGGTCTTCAGAAGATCAGAGCACAGAAGGAGAGAGAACTCTGGGTATTTCTTCCTCTCCTCCTCCTCTTTGTTTCAGTGTCACTTTTTTGACAGTGGCTGTGTCCCTCCAGATCCACATTTCCCACTGGATGACCCCTCCTCCAGGGCTCCAGCTATCAGTGGAGTCCTTGCAATATTTCCTCCCCTTTCCCCTTAAGCTCAAGGAGTGGTAACAGTTCCTCTCTACTGCTGGTCTGCCATCATCGTCTCATTCTTGTTCCTTTACCTACCTACACCTCTGTAACTGGTAACTTTGTTTGTGTCTTCACCTGAATCATTTGGGGTAAATTCTGTGTCCTAGTCAGGACGCTAACTGCAGTGCAGTGTACATCTTCCACAGTAAGTAACCAGTACGTAATATAAATGGGTTTGGTATATATGCAAGATAACAGGCGAGTGTAATTTAATACAAAGTGCATTGATACGTGGTGCTTGCCCTCAACAAAATAAGTAATCTATTATTGAGTTTTGATTGATTATTGCAGAGGGTTGTTATTTAGTGAATGATTTTAAGGTCCAAAACCAAAGAGTAAAATATTTTGATTGCTAAATGTTCACTGAAATACTTTTACCTAAATAACTTTAGAAAAGGAATTTAAGAAAGTAGAAATTATGTTCATAAATGACATGCATTTGTGGAAAGCTGCAGCAAAAGCTCTAAAAACTAGCTTTCTTCTTTTCGGTTTACTGTGAAAAGTTTAAATGTTTCCTAGTGTAAATCTTTACTAATCTTTAAAATAATTAATTTTTTGTGAGTAAATTTGTTATACTGACTTTTGCTTATAAGTTAGTGTAGAAAGGAAGGAGGGAAATTAATAGTATTGTTTTCTAGCCTCCTTTGTTTTTACCTAAAGACACTTCTTTAGAAATGGAGACACAGGCAGCCTTGAATTGCACAGTTAAGCATAAAAACTGTGTATAGTACCAAAACTCCAAAGATGAAATACATATACTGATAATTTTGTAGGTTGATCACTGTCCAGACAATTCCAAAAATTTCACAAATAACTTCTTACGGAAATCAATATAGCATAGAATTTACGGAACTCAAATCAAAGCTTTCTCTTTTATCCTCTCACCTCTTCACCCTGAACTGTGATCAAATTTTGCACCTTTATTGCTGAAGGAGACTTTGACTTCATTAGTCCTACTGCCCTTACTTTACAGGTGAAGAAAAGAAGAAGAAGAAAAAGGCTTGGGAAGCTG